CGGGCGCGCCCCCACAGCGCGGGACGGGCGCCCCCAAGTCTCCGAGCCGCTCCCGGAGCTTTGAGAGGGACCGAAGGAGGGGAGATGAAGTCGCCTCGGGCCCCCGGGGCTGCACCCCATGGGCGCCAAGGAGCTGGCCCTGGTAACGGGCTCTGGCCAGCACCAATTTTTTCCATCACTCCCGTAACTTTCTCCCTTCATATAAACCATTCCTCCTCACCCCATCCGTACCATGGCAGTCGGTGTAGACTAGTCATTGGGAATCTACATCGGTGTAGACCATCTCCTTGATTATGCTGCCTCATTTGTGATTTATTGAAGACTTTGTATTTCGAACTATCATAGAAATTATAATTTCTGCAAGTCATATGAATAGCTGCCATAATCCAAATCGACCTGAATATGTATGCACTTTAGTTGCTTTTTAGTGACAGAAAAGAAGTTTTAGAATTCTGGGGAAAAAATTGCTAGCAACTGATCTGAAATTATGACAAAAATGCTGAATCAGATGCAGATCACACAATAGGAAGGTTAATGTAAGTGCATTTCTACTCCAAGAGCAATTGCATTAGAAACCTAAAAAAAGAGGACCACGTATTAAAACACATTGCCTGCTCCTTTGGAAAATGACAGAGCTAAGTGTGTTTCATTTATGCCCTAAGTTTATGACCAAAGATCGGTATGGTGGCAATTAAACAGGTGTACACACACAGACATGAAGCAGAATAGGCTTCAAAATCCAATCTTAACTAACTTGCAAATTCCTTTAATTTTTAACTTCACAAAATTTAAAGAGTAAATTTACAAGTAGCTTCATTTTCCAGCTTCAGTATTCAGGAGGACTCCGAATTCCTAATTCTCACTCTAGATGAAAGTTTCCAATTTGTATTCCCCTGCAGAAGAAAAATGTAATATCTGCATTTTATCACATTTTAAACATAATCATTCTGTATATTATAGAGAACTGGTGATCTTAGTGACAAGGCTTAATATTATTTTCTCTCTGTATATCCGAAGACTTTTAAACAAATACTTGACTAGTATTTTCAGTGAGGCAGTTTCAAATTCAACTGTTTGTAGAGCCTGAATTAAAACCCACTAAAGTAAAAAATTTCAGTAGAAATTAAAACTGGCTCATAAAAAAATCCCAGAAACAAAATTATATGTGTAACTGATATGATGGTTTATTTGCTTGCAAATTTGAAATTATATTTTTATGAGAAATGCCATGGATAAGCTTTTGTGGAGGGGCCAAATCAGTTTTAACTAATATGGACAGTTATGTCATAAAGAAAATTATAATTCATTTTAATTTTCTTTTAAAAATATTTGCCCGCAGGGGAAAGTGTGTACGTGTAGAATGTAACTATTCGTGTAGAATGTGAATATATTAATAGAACCTATATTTCTTGTCAATAAGAAGTGAATCCAGAGGATATCAAACTGTGTCAGTTTCCCTCTAATTTGAAAAATAATCTGTAACCAGACTTTTTATACATTGCTCTTTGAGAGTCTGCTCGTTTTACACTTTTACTCCTCTTTTGTCTCTTTCACTTCTGAATTACCTCGATGTGCTCTCTTCTCCTCCTCCAAGTCTGTCTTTATTCTTCAACCAAGGAATCTTGACCAGCCTCCTAAATAATGTCCTCCAGACTTCTTTTCTCAATCAAAATGTTTCTTAATACCTACCTATCTTCCACATCTGCAGCTATCTTCCAACCTCGATGGTGTGGAAGCTATCTTCCATCTTCTATAGAATATAAAAACCAGGTGCCTACCAGACACAAGTCCTTTCATTGTCCTCAGCTGGTATGACCCAGGACACCACAAATCGTGATGCTGTCATGCATGTGCCCCTCACCCATTCACAGGAGCTGCTGCTGTCATTAGTAGAAATTCAGCTGAGGTGATCTCGTGCTGCCAGCAGAACTTTGGCTAATGGTAAAGCGGTTAAGAGATTAGGTAACACTGACAACCAATAGTACTGAAAGGGCTGAAAGGCATTAGATTTGAGATCAGTTGCTAGTGACTTGCTGTAATACTGAGCTATAAACCAGTCTTACATAATATTTTTAATAACAACTTCAAAGCAAAAAGTAAGAAAGAATGAATGAGTGTAGCATGCTGGTAATGCAAAAGTGAAGAGGAACATCACTACAGAGGAAGATCGGCATAACACACAGAAGCTTTTGATGACCTGAATAATAGAAATGAGCAGCAGTGCAACAGTACAAAATGCAACAGCTTAGGAAATAACAAAGTTCCTATTAACGGAAGCTCCTTTTAACACAGCTGTTGGCAATGTCTGAGGAGATAAAAGACTTGGTCATATTATCTGACCCTATTTTTTTATGAGATACTAAAGGTTTGCAGCCATAAAAGACAAACAAAATCAAAAAATGCATAAGGGAGATGCTTCCTGTAGCTTATGGTAAGCATTAAGGTAGTTAAGTACTGAGGCTTCTGATCCAAGCTGTGCTTATGCTGTGCTGTCTTGAGATCACATCAGGCAGAGAGGAGGGCCACTGATGAATTGGGGAATACAAGGCTATTACAAGAAAGGAGACTAGATGACTTTCTAAGAGCTCTGGGCATAGCCTTCCAGTGAAGTATTTATGGGATGCCAACAGCAGTGATCATTTTAATGGAAGTGAGATATGACTTATATGAATATGGAATAGATTTTGGTTTAGTTTGGTTTTAAGCAGAAGTAAGCGTATTGTTTGGCTTTGGACTGCTGGTATTCCAGGAAAGCTAAAAGCCATGTGGAAATCTATTTCACCTGAAGACTTAGCTGGTTTCTGTATACATCTCATCTTTGAGCTGTGATTGCTGCTATGTTTTCAAGGCATCAGATCTTCCTTGTGATTCTATACAGCACAAATCAGAGAAGTTCATGGCTGTTTTCTCTTTCTACAGCAATTTTTACCTATTCACCAAATCACAGGTCTTGCAAGTGTGCTGAGCTATCAAGGTCAATTAAATTAGTAAAGAAAATACTAAAACTTTCAGTCAGAATAGCTCAATTCCCTCATATCAGTAAAAACATTCTTAATTAAACCAAGAATAATCAAGATTAAGTCTTGTCAAGTAATTATAACTGCCATTCACCTAAACACTTAGCTGCTACTTAAATAAATATTCTTTGAAAATAAATATCGAAAATCTTCTTCCAAAGTAAGCAGAGGTGACAATAGTGATTACGAAAATCATACTGATTTTGAATGAAGAATATTGCAGTGGTTTTGTTTACTGAAAGGGTTGCAGATTAGTGGGCCTGTCTACTAGTGAACTGAGATTATTGAATCCTTTTATTCACTTCAATAAGCTTGATCATACTTTGAAAACGTAATGAATATCCATTTTAACATAATGTTGCTGTTACCTGAAGACTCCTCACAGTCCCTCTAGGTCACTTTGCTGTGTTTTTATCTAAGTTGTTTTTTTATTTGTTTTTCAAAATTCATTGACATATCTAAATTCTGTATGCTGAATTGAAATGTCCATGATTTATGATGACATAATAAACATATGTTTCTGTTTTATTCCCAGATTCAGAAGAGGAAATGAAAGCGTTAGAAGCAGATTTATTGACCAATATGTACACATCAAAGGTAATTATTTTTCCTCTTTTAGCTGACGGGTAGGGAGCAAATGGATTCTCATTACAAACCCAGAAGTCTTTGCACAAAGTAATAAACTATGGTCTGGACCAAAAAGTTCCATGCTAGGCATTACTTTGGTGCAAGATTTTCTCCAGTTCAAAGGACATTTAAAGGTGTTGATGTGACACACTAAAAGTGTTCTTCATTCGTAACACTGGTACTTTCATTAAACTGTCAAAACTGTGTTACGTGCAGAGATGTAAATTTATATGATGAAATGTGTTTCCAATAGGAGTATGCCTGATGAAAGCTAAATTAACCTTCAGTCAAAACCGTAAATGCTATTTTTGTGCAGAACTTTTCCTATATGTGTATAAAATTAAGGCAGTCATAAAGCAAAAACTGTTAATACATATGCTGATTTTGGTTTAGGAATTTAATCATAGTGTTAATACAGGAACATGGGGACATGACTGTAAAAATATTAATCTGGTAAATGACATTTCCTTGACAAGTTGTCAGACTGTGAGCCATGTACATGTTACTTAATACAAATTGATGAAAATTCAGTTCCAATCTCATATTAACAAGGTGAAGCAGCAAGTGTTGCACATATGTACTGAACAGGCTGCTAGACAAATACTTTCTCAACACTGTTATTTTCCATGCATGATCTAAGAAATATATATGTCTAATCTTTCTTCAGCAGCATACTAAAGAACAAACCCCGAAACAAGTGCCACGGTCTTAAGGTTAAAAGTTTTAATAATTTGTTCTAATGAAGTTCAAGTGGTGCTTAAATTCAATGGAAAATAAAATCAGAAATGCAAAATTTACCCCAAACAAGAATTTTATAAGCCAACAACTAGTTGAAGGTTAAGGACAAAACCTGTCTGGAAGACTTCTGTATTTACTGTATTTACTTATATGTGAGCTTTTTCACAGGATCCTTTGAATAAACTAGAATAAGAAATGAGGCCAGAAAATGCATTGTTCTGATATGGTCTGGCGGTTCTTTGGTTGCCCTGTTCTTTACTGGCATGGTAATTAACCCTAGGTGCTAAATAAACCCATATGCCACTCACTTCTCTAAGACACAGAAAGATTTAATAGAAATTCTTTTCCTGAGACAAATTTAAATGTAGGAGGATGACAAAAATAGTTCTTTCTCTGTGTGGCAAAGCATAGTATGCCCTGGGAGGAAACCCTGCAGCTATTGGTATTTCTGCTACTGACTTTAGTGGAACCTAATTTCCACTTCCATTTTTTCCTCCCTCTCAGCACAGAGCACAACTCAGCTAACTAAAAATGCACAAATATAGTGCATCAGTTGATAACGTAATGATGTTTGCCACCTACTTTAGTATGTTGTTTTACATCATGTAGCTTTCTATTCGATTTCCTTATGGTATATACCATAAGTCAAGTGACACCTGAAGTTGACAGAAGCAGTAGATGCATGGTGGAGACGTTGCTTTAATTCTACATTATACCACCGTAAATCACCATCTAAAATTCATTAGTTCAATATATGTTGTCTCTTGACATCAAAGTAAGACATGGTGGAACCACTAAAAAGGCTGCATAAACACTTCTACAAGATGCATACCACTATTCCACTCATTACTGAAATGATAAATTCTTTTTTATTTTTTTCTGTTGTCCCCTGCTAGCTTTTAACCCTCATTAGAACAAAAGTACGGTTCTGGTGTGAGAGACAAATTTGAGGATGGTATGTGTAATAACTGTCTTGTATTGCTCCTGAGATCTGGTTTCAGTTGAGGGCAATTACTGTCAAATTGCATTAACTGTCTTTGACACTGACTTGGTAATAAGCAGCAAGGGAAATCCAGACAATTTAAATAGCATTAAGATGGGTAACAGAAGAAAAAAAAATTATGAAAGCTCAGATCTGAAAATGCAGCAAAGTGGATTATTACTTGTGGTTCTAGTATTTGACAGAAAAAATCTTCTTAAGTAGTCACTTGTGAAGTATAGCATCAAGACTACAACTAGGGTTTAAGCACACCTTTTGCAACATTCAGTAGTCTATCCAATATTTTGGAAAGAGTCACCATATGCTTTTGACTTCACAGACTGCTGTCCAGTGTCTACCGGTCCCTTTCAAACTGCTCTTTAAAGTAATCTATATGCTGACTCACTCTCCATCTGTAAAGAAGTGTGTCCATGCTTATTGCAGCCTGTCTTCAACATTTAAGACAGTCTATCACCTTTCTCTGCTGTTACATCTCAATGAAGATACAGGGATTAAACAAGTCCCTAAAATGCTTTATCTATCTTTCCTCTGAGTTACAATCCAAAGAGCCATTTGGAAGGTCTGGTAAGACAACACAACCTGAAGTGTCACAAATATGTGGATAGTTATCTGCTGTCTCTCTCTTGTATCAAATAGATAGGTCTATTCCCAGCTTCCTAAATGTTTGCCTGAAACCACCACTGGCATGAAGAATGTCCTGAACTCAAACAAGATTGAGATGATGTTAAAGAAAAAAAAAAAGAAAAAAAAGAACTCTTTGCTTGAAGAATACATCGTCACTGGAATATACTCCACCTTTGGGATCTCCACTCACATTAATTTTCTGAAGTCTTGGATGCTCTGAGATTCTTATTTTTCTAGCATGCCTATTTCTGACTGCATGTGCTCAGACAGTTTAACTTCCTTGTCTGCGGCAGATGAAGTTACAGCCGCCTAGGAGTTACTGACTTTCTGACTCAGTCATCACATAAAGATTCATTACGTTTACAGGCATTAGTATACACCATGGAAGAACTTCCCCTGTAACAGAACTCAGTATCATATCTGCTTACATGCAGTATTTTTATTATTCCTATGGTTACATTCTGAACAAAATTCCACTACTATTCTGAAAAGGAACTATAAACATCCTACATTATCTTGAGTTTTACTTGGTTATGAATTTGTTTTTCATCTGCTTTCACTAAAGACAAGAATATAAAAAGAAGAGAATTTAACTTTCTTTTTCTAAAAAAAAAAAAAGAAGCATTTGTGAGGTATGCATTATAACATAGGAAGCATCTTAAACAAACTATATGGGGTATCGTTCAACCAGAAATGGAAAGAAGATGATATTATGTAAGTTTTAACTCAGGATTCTCTTTAATCTTTCATAGGACAAGCCAGTTGTCAAAGAAGGAAATATGCTCATTTCAGTTTCTTAGATTATTTAAATTTCTCTTTCAAGGTATATGAGGTGTGGGAAACCATATGGCTGAGTCTTATCTCAGAAGCATGTTCAACAATGGAAATAAATGCATACATCATATTCACTTCAGCATTAATAACTTTTAAATTCTGATTCATACTGCAGTCTCTCTTGTTCCTTCAGATCACTCCCAGATATTTTTCAAGGTAATCTTAAAAAAAATAGTTCCATCTTGGCAGATATGAGTTGCTTGATCTCTTGTGTAGGTGTTTCCCAAAACATGTCTTGAGCAACTATAGCTGTTATTGTTTAGACCTGTGTGGAAAATTTATCACACATTGGAAATGTACCTGAACATTTGGGTTATGGTCAACTTAACTGTATTTTCATATATTCCTTTAGGATAACTGCCTCAGAGTTTTCCCATACCCTATAAAACAATGCTGTCTTATTGTAATGCTTGCTGTAATAGTGAAGTAGATTAGAAAAGTAACGAGACTGCTCTGTTCAGTGACTGGACATGACCTGGAGAGCTCCATGTTCAGTTAAAAAAAGTATTTCACGCTTGACTGAAGTTCTTAATGCTTTGTAGTCTCATTCTGTGAGCTGGAAGCAGTGTAAGTCAGAAGCAGGTGTACCCAAGTAAAAATACTTTGAGGTGATATATGCGTGGTATTAATGGGAATTAGACTCCCTTAACAAATGAAGTATGCTTGCAGAGAGCACTGCCAAATTTTTTCCCCTAACCTCATAAGTAGCAGCTAAGACCAATTTAACCTAATGAAGTTTGCTATTTAAGTACTTTACTAATATACAGAGGAAAGTTACTTTAAACATAGACATGCATGAGGCTAACATAAAGTAGTAACTTTAGATCAAAAAGGTTCTATAAATTATGCAAGAAGGCATAACGAATTTCCCTATCCTTTCTTCTCTCTTCTGTTTCCATCCACTGGAATATTTATGTTTGTTTTTTTTTTTAACTCAGGACTCTCCACTTGCTCACATAGCACTGCCCCTAGATTTTATTCTTCACTGCAATTTAGCTGTTGTAGTGCTGGCTCATATTTCAGCGCACTGGGAAAGCCTCCTCATTTGTCATGGAAAGCTCCATATTTTTATATTTCACAGATATTTTAGAACAGACCAAAGAAGATTTTGAAATTGCAGTGGACACTTGCTCTTTTTGCTAGTTTAACTTTTGTTAATTAAATTAGACATGCTGCAAAGAGGTTAATTTTTGTTTTGAACCTGTCACAGCTTTTCAAATAATTCAACAAGACTAATTAGGGCACCTAGATGGGACAACAGATGAGCTCAAAGTAAACAATGCAGAACCAATTTCAGGCTTCTGAATAAGAATTGAGATTTGTTTTCTTCTTAACCTGAAAGCAAAATACTCTTTTTTTTTTTTTCTTCTGAGCCCTGACAGGAATCTGAGAACACGTAGTGGATTTATTAAAGGGCTAAATTATTCCTGTTTTGAAAGGCATGCATATATCAGATGTATATTGGAGTAATGATTATGGCTAAATGGGAATTTTTTTTGTAAGTAATGCTAATACTGATGCCAGCTTTTCTTGTTTCTTCCTCACTCCTCTCCATTTTCTTTCTTTTCCCTCAAAAAATATTAGTGTGGTGAATATGCCTATATCTTGCATACAATGCCCCTTTGTTGGGAAAGGTACTTAAAAGAAGAAACAGATTATATGGTTACCTAATGTTCAGCTAAGTAAACTCTGCATCCACACTCTTAATTAATGCTATCAGTATGTAAAAGGCAATGCCTGTGTTAATGTAATACTTATATTTAACTTCATACATCCAGGAAAAGAACATTTCAGTTCACAGGTAAAATGTAATCCTAATGTGCACAGCAAGGAAACCCTTACCAGTAATAAACAGGAATTTGCTATTTGGCTTTTGATTGGAGATTGCTATGTCACCAGTTCTAGCTTAAGGGAACTGATTTCTATACTCACCACTAAAAGGAATACAATTTGAAAGAAACAGTTAATAGCAGGAGAATCAAGAAAGCAGCAAAGACATCAAAAGCAGAAAATGAGGTAGGAAATAGGTTTTTCACTTACTTTTTTCTATTGCTAATCAAAACTAAAGAAGACTACTGCCACTTCTTGGAAAGAACAGTACCAGTAGAAAAGTAGAAATTATTTTCTCAACATTTTAAAAAAGGGTTTAAAAGTTAAATAGCTCCCAAAAGCAAGCAAAACAAGCCAAATTTGAGACAAACCATGGTGAAATTTTTCTATTTCTGTCTTTCTGTAACATCTCTGAACAGGTCTATTGTGAACCACCTAAACACAGTTGGTCTGAGTTTTTCAGTCCAGTTACCAAATAAGGAATACATTATTTACACAGCTCTGTTTCATCTTTGGTCCATCTTTATCTAAGCCTGTAGACCTTCGATTCATGTCTCCAGGCTCATGACTCTCCAGCATCCAAAACTCCTGGGGCTTACAGATTCCATAAGTTCAGACCCAGCCTCATCAGACAGCTTGCCCTGAAGCAGGGACTCCATTCCTTTTCTCAGGGAATTTTGAAATGACTGGTATTTGTTCTGAACTGGGGAGGAGCGTCTAGTTAACCACAGGCATCCACCTTGGATTCCAGTACTGGGAATTTATCCAGTGGGTTTGACTCATTGTCCTGATTTACACCTGCAAATTTATATTATATTAATTTCCATCTGTGTTTTTGTTTGCACCTGTGCAGAATGACTATGAAATGCTACCATTCTGGTTTGGTAGCAGTTTAGTTTTTCATCATGTGTATCTACCTGGGGGGTAAGGCTGTGGGGAAGCAGACTTAGTGTGTTTAATAAATGAGTTGTCCTAATTTCAGCACTCTCTAATTATTGTCTAAAAGTTGAGCAGTTGAGAAGCACTTCAAACTCACAAACTTGTTCCTACCAAAATGTTGGAATGTCACACGTTATTACTAAAAAACAAAACAAAAATTGCAACACGTTAAATAGTGGGTATTTGTATTTCCAGATTACCAGAGCAAAACTTCCTTACTGGAAAATGACCCTGCTAAATGTCTGCAATCTTGTCAACGATGTAAACAACCAAGTGGGGGAAACAGTAGAGGTAGATGAAGAGGATCTTGTTTCAGGAAGACAGTTTCCTGCTGCTCTGGATGGCTTCAGCTTGGAAGCAATGCTGACAGTATATCAACTCCAAAAAGTTTGCCACAGCAGAGCCTTTCAGCACTGGGAGGTAAAACAAACTGTCACAAATGCATGTTTCAACTGCTGTTAAAATCTCAGGCTCCGTTGTTTTAAAATCCATATCCATGTGACCCCTGTCACATTGTCTGAGCTTTCCTTTCCTTTTTATATTCTCTAATACCTCTAATATGCCTTTTATTGAAAGAGTTGTGAATTAATGTAGTTTCTGACAAGCTGAGTGTCTGTTTTTTATAATGACCCATGGATAAATGAAAACTATTCTTAACTACATACTTTCTCCACGTTTTGTAGACATTCCAAGGAACCAAACAAGCACGTGAAAGTGAGCTCTATGCCAGAACACAAAATTAATATCTGCTTAACAGACATAAAGTTACTGCAGATTTATTGAGGCATAACTAAATACAGGCAGAGTTTCTGGAAACCCTTTTAAGGCCCTAAGGCAAACTAGATTCAAAATGCATGGACACATGCCCATGTGTACATACAATTTTACCAGGTACTCTGGGCTTCTTATCACTGCTAGGAAACTGGTAGCAAAAGAACTCTTGCTTTTCACTTCTCCGCACCTAAAGAGGGCCCTGAAAGTTGACATTGCGATTTTATGAGGATTGCTGCTGTTAAATAGTGATTGCTTATAGTCCATTTGTGATATTTATCTTAGCGCAATGATCACACAGAGGCACACTGGGTACAATCCACTTGTGTTATTCTATAGTACACTGAAAGCTGCTTTGTGTAGTGAAAAAGATATCTCAGTGTCACTACCCACTTTCCAGTAAACCCCGTTTCTTCAGCTATTTCAGGTTCATGGACAGTCTGGCTGAATCTTGATGCTCTTTTCTTTGCTAAATCACAGCTCTGTATTTGCAGGCTTATTCTCAATCCTTCATATTAGCTAGGATGGTCCATACAAAAGACTGCAACATCTTTGAGAACTAGAGTTTTCTAAGGACTTTTTTCCACCAGTACATTTATTGCTGAAAAGGAGCTATCATAGAACTGACTATATGCAATGGCCCATATGACTTAATCACAGTTCCTTACCTTGCAGTTGCATCACCTCTTGTGGTGGTTGGGAATCATCACTCCTAACAGTAGTGCATGTGAAATTAAAAAAAAAAGAATCTTCTTTCAACTTAGGAACACGCTTATGCAGTTTAGAGGTTTATAAGACAATAAAAGAAGGGATAGAGCCAGAGGGAGGAGGGTTGAAGAAGGCTTGAAATAAACAACTTATGTAATGAAAGAAGTTCTTGTGAACCTATTCATCCAGGATTGACTCCAAAGTCTGTTGAAACCATGAAAGTCTTTCCGTTCATTTAGATAGAATTTAGATGAGCACTCATTTATTAAGTAATTAAGTGAGTAACAGAGTTTGATTGTTTAGGGAAATACTGAGGTGAGTATAAAAATATTTTCAGTTTAATGCCTTTCAGCCAGACAGTAGGACTGTACTTGAGCATGGAAGAACATGGTGAGAGAATGGATGAAAACTTAACAGATAAAGCAAGAATGAATCTGAAAAAAACACTTTAAAAATCGCAAGTAAAACTCAAAACACAGTTATATAAGAATTTTTGATTGACAAAAATTTGGCTTTCTTGTGTTTTATTTCTTGTTTATTACACATTTTGATTTTTTAGCTGTAGAAAGTTGTAGATAAAAATATTGCTCAAAAGTTGAAACCAGCATGCAGTGGGTGTTTCAGGAGGTGTTTAGCCTAAATAAGTGATTACAGAGTGACAACCATTATGAAGTTTTCAGTCAATTTGAGTTTTAGTCCAAGGAGGACATACCAGCTTTTATCTCTAGTAAAAACCAATGATATAATTTGTTTCAGTGGAATTTAAATATCTCCTCCACAGGATTCAGCTCATCTTTAGCCTGATCTTAGTTTTGTGTCTTGAGTTTTGGGCTTTTTTTTTTCTTCTTTTTTTTTTTTTTAAAAAAAAAAAACCCTCACAACTATTATGGTAAAGATTTTTCTCTGTGGCAGATGTTAAAATAAAGTTTTATAAAACTTTCTAGGAATTGATAATCTTCACTACCAAAAAAAGTTGATAACATTGTGTCTTCATGCATCCTACAGTTACTTCAGCAAGATGCTTTTGATCTAGAGAACTCAAGCCAAGACAAGGAAATAATGAAAAGAAAAAATCCCTATATTCTGAAACGACAGCTACACATGAACAAAGCTAGAAGACCATACATACTCAAGAGAAGTTCATATTACTGATACAGCAGAAGAAAACAATGTATATTTAGTTTATAGGTAACTGTGCATTATGGTTATCTTATTTAAATCTAAAATCATACTTGTGTGAAAATATACTATGGAAAATCATCAAGATGATAACATAACTGTGTCTTTTTTGCAATTGCTGTTTCTTGATTGTGATTTTTTCCTACTTGAGATTAATTGGACCAGTACATTTGCAAATAAATCTAGTTTCTAAGCATGATGTATTGTACAAAACTGAGATTTCAACATATTTTCAACAATATTGTAGTCTTTTCCTATTTTATAAAGCACACTGACATACACCAAGTAAATCGATATTGTCCGTAAACCCTACTGAGAATCTTACAATTTCTAAATACAACATCTCAAGCATACATGTGCTTACAAGTTTTTGTATAATACACTAGTCAGAACTGCCACGATATTTTGTATATTGGCCAGTTTAATTTATTAGGGATTAGATCTAAGGAAGGAGGGAAATATAATCTTCGAACGATTAAATGGCAACTTCAAAATTCATCTTAAATAGCCTGCTTGTAAATGAATTTTAAGTTCTTGACTCCTAACTTGCCACTGAAGAGTCATAATTTAAGCAAGCAATACAGAAATGAGACTTTAACAAAGCGAGAACAAACCCAGATGTGCTTCAGTCTTCTCTATCACTGACTAAATAAGGAAATAAGTTTATTAAATCAGTAAAATAATTTACAGTGTCTACCTAATCTATGAATACTCAGGAAAAAAAAAAGACAAAAAATAAAAGCTGATTTATGCTCCCATGCTCTCACTGTTAGAGTCAAATCTGGTTATATGAGAAACTTGGGAGAAATATTTGAAAGAGGAATTAAAATTACAACATCTTAAACTTACAATTAAAAGGCATTTCCTTTCTCTCCCTCTACAAATCTGTAGTAACAACAGACAGTTTTAGGAGTTAAAGACAGTCTTGGAAGCTGACAGAGAGGGAAGCTCCTAGCATGGAAGAAAGAGTTTTCAAGACATGAGGAATCAAGTGCCTCCTGAAACTTACACATTTTCCAGCTCTGTGTCTCTGATACATACATGAGACTTGGACTCTCAGTGATCCTGGGTTCCAGGCTGGAGGAAAACAGTCTGCAAGAACTGGGAGTCACAAGAATAGTCAAAATAGAGGGATAGTCAAAGACCCATGAGACCTGGATGCTCAGACCAGGAGGCAAAAAAATGGGAGAGACATTGCTTTTGAAAACCTACTGGTTTTCTGTTTGAGATATTTCCTCAAAGCAGCGCTGTTCCAACAAATTGCCAGAAAAAAAATACTCAGAGAATTTCCAAATCCTATCACAGGTCAGATTTTCTGCCTATTACTATTAAACCTATACAAGTATATGCATAGAAAAAACATACCCATACCAATGGTTATACCAACTCTGTTACATGGGGAGGGACGGGTTTTGTAGAGTAAAATACATTTTCATTATATTAAAGGTACTTATACTTCCTTTTTTCACTGCAAATGTTATTCATCAGTTTATTTATTCAATAGCCACTAAATGCATGCACTCATAAGATATAACTGAGCATACACTAATTATTGTAGTAATTGCTATGACTTGAATACAGCAAAGCACTTAAGTACATTTGGTCTCAATGTTTTAAATGCTTAATGAGCTTAAGGGCTTTGCTTAAATGAGGTTCTAGTAGAATCATACCCTTTATTTTTTAAAGAAACTGTCATAGAAATAGACTGGAGACGTAGTATGCTCTCAGGTGGCTAAGAAACATCCCTCTTTCCAACAAAACTACAAGCTCTGTAATCCTCTTATGGACACTTTAAATTCTAAATTACCTGTTGGCCTGAAATAACAAAGCAGAACAGAGTTTGTTCCAAAATTCACCGTTAGCAATATATGAGGAAAAAAAGAAAAGAAAAGAAACTTCAGATCACTATTTCATGGGGAACACAGAAGAATAAGAAAAAAAGAAATGGGTTGCTATGGTATTTTTCTCTCATGTTCAGTTTAAGAGTATAAGAGTTAAAGAAAGAAGTAGGGTAAGGTAATGTGGTTGCCATCTGATAAAGAATGTTAAATTTTTTGAAAACAAAAGCACCCTTCCATGTTTCATTTTGGAGGTGATTTAGATATTCTGGGTGATGGCAGATGATGTTGATGAACTGTTCCACCCTCATCTAGTGCTCCACACTCAAGTGGGACTTACCCTGTGACTGTGTACTTGTTCCTTGTAGTGCAGAGTTAACAGATTAGCCAGACTGACTGGCTGAAAATGGCTTAAAATAACCCATTTCCTTTCAGCAAGCTGTGAATACATGCATGGTTACCTACTGTGTGTCACTGAAGGAGGCAGAGCTCAAAGTATGGCAGGAGGTAGCTTGTTCAGTTGTTCCCTAGCCTCTGATGGAGGTGTTCAAGGAGCTGGCAGAGAAATATCATCCAGAGGGAGAGACAGTCCTAACTGTATGAGGAAACAATATCCATAGTTGTAACATAGGCAGTAAAGATACAAAATCCAATGCTGTCATTCAGCTTATTGGTCATCAGTGGAAAACAAGCATAGCGCATTAAAGTGTTAGAAAACACACTTAAACCATACAATTAAGCCAGGTATACAGAGCTGTTCAAAGATATTTTGATGTCTGGGGGGACCCTTATTTTCTTGAAATCTCCTCTCACTTCTAGCTGTGGCTACCTCTTGATGACCTCACTGCTGTGGAATTGCAGCCTTTTTTTAGCCCTCCTTTTTGGATGATGGCAGCAAAAAAAAAAAAAATAGGCAGGCTTATGCATATTTGTCTCTGGTTTGTATATTCTTTCAGTGGGATCTTCAGGGTACCTGCCTGTAAAATTGATGCTGTATTTACAGCAGCAATGTGTGCTGAAGCCAGAGGAGGCCCTCACAATATGTAAAAGTTCATAAATTCCGACAGTATTTTTTTTCTTTTTTCTGCAGCTCATAATTGCCTTAAGTTTAAAAACGTTGTTTTGAAGACCATTAACTCAGATTGCTACCTTGCTTAAAGAACTGCCTCTTGATAGGGAGAATTTTGTTTTAGAAAGGCAATTACTGAGAATTTTGTTTTAGAAAGGCAATTACTGAGAATTTTGTTGTCTGTCTCCACAGAGGAGCACATTTTTCCTACATATTCCATTGCTGATGTTTTTATGAAGTTCATAGATGAATAATTACACCAATTATTCAGTAACTTTATACTTAATTATTTCTCATACTCCTAAAATATTGGATAGTCATACAGAGCAATTGCAGAAACCTCTCAGTTATTTCTAAAGTAGAATTAAATGTAACTAAGATTTAATTTGATTTTATATATTTTTAATAGTTGTCATCTATAATCTTACAAATGCTTTATACAAGAAAAGTAAAACATAGATAAATGAATAATTTTATCATCTCTGAAGCATACATTTGTTAGTTTTTCTTTAAAAGGAACATTAAAAAATAATAGTTCCTGTTCTCAAGGTTAAATGTAGTGATAAAATAAGTCTTCAGATTTCTCGAGTCTTGCTTGTGGTATATTATAAAATTTGCTGTTTTCTGTCTTTTCTGTTATAAGCCTAAACTTTGTTCTATATTTTAGGTAAGAGTTTAATGGCTGTGGTGTGAACAGTGTGGATAAAATGTGGAATTTTCAGATTAAAAGAGATTTAATTTTGTGATGTATGATTGTGGCTATGCCTCATATCCTACTCTTAACTAACACACAATGGTGACATGATAATTTGGTCTTGATCTTTATTCTTCTTCCCCAAGATTAGTTATCAGTTTGCACTATGTGGTATCAAACTGAGGATGCAAACCACCACTATAATACTTGAGTGTAGGATGGCAGAAGGAGGAGCAGGTTCTTCTGAAATTCCCCAAGGCTCCAGACTGATCATTGATATTCTCCACATCCAAAATATTGGACTGACTGAAGGCGATAATAAAACAAGACCCTGCAAAATAAAGTATCCTGACTTCTGTGATAGAGTCAGAACTTGTACCTTGCTGTCCAGAAAGCAAAGAAAGAGGAGGGAGGGGTTGATCTCCACAAGGAAGCTGGGGAATGAGATTTTCATTGCTACCAAATTCAAGCATTCAAAGAGATAGATAGACAGATAGATAGATAGATAGATAGATAGCCCTGAGGTCTAAATAAATAGACATCAAATGATTTTTATTTCCCTTCATTTACTGGACTGCCAGGGAGCATCTGAATCACCTTTTTAAGATTTGTCAACAAGAGGAGCTAAAACATACTTGTTTGTTTTTATTCAATGCTACTGAAAATTGACATTATCATCCAATCTCTTCAATCCAGCAGGTGTCACATTAAGGCATACACAAAAGCACAATGTTGATGATAGATTTCAACACCTATCAGATTCAGGGTGCTTGGATGGATTTGACAGACCTAATAATCAGACAGTGGACTAGAAAGGGCTTTGTGGCACCTCACTGGCAGGCAAGCTCTGGCTGGCCAAATGACTCCTCTGAGGTGGCAATATTGGTAAATGGCATGGGAGCCACCCAGGAACATTTGGAGGGGTGTTAGCTATTAAGAAACATAAAGCCTGCAGGAGCTGTTAGTTGCCCAGCTAAGACTTGCTTTTTCCAAGTAGATGAGAGCGTTACAGCTGTTGTCTCAGGAGACTCCTCACATCCCCTCATACAGAAGGAAAAGATGGACTTGAATTACCAAGGAATAGCATTTGTCTGTTTGATCTCCTAGAAGTTCAAGCACCAGTCTGTTTTGTCTCAAAAGTTACAGTGCAGTATTAGTCTGGAACCATCTTATATTTTACGCTTGAAGTTTGGTTGTAATCTTTCGCAGGATGTGTTTCTCTCCCCTCATAAGGCGCTTCTCAGATGGTCTACACACTGCTTTCATAAAGGACTGACAGCAGACTGAGGACCTCTGTCTAGATGTAGTATCTAAGCTGCTTAACAAAGTGTTAAATCTATGTGAATGAAAAACTGCTGGGTTTGTACGTCAG